TATGGAGAATGGGATATGAAATATGGTTTATGGAGTATGGAATAGGGAGTATGGAGTATGGAATGTGGAATATAGAATATGGAGAATGGGATATGTAATATGAAATATGGTTTATGGAGTATGGAGTATGGAATATGAAATATAGAGTATGGAATAGGGAGTATGGAGTATGGAAAGTTGGGTATGGGATGTGGAATATGGAATATGGAAAATTGAGTCTGTAATATGGAATATGGAATAGTGCATACGGAGGATGGASTACCAAACATGGAATATGGAGTATGGAATTTGGAATCTCTCCTTCCTCTCAGGCCAGCAACACAGAAAGGCTCCTCCAGTCCTTCATARCCCTCTTGTGTCTCAAAGCCACAATGACACTGTCAGGGGAACATCCCACCAGCCCAAAGTYTCCTGGGGTGCTGGCCCCAGCTGCAATTCCCTGTTCCACCTGTCACAGAATGATTTGTGTTGGAAGGGGCCTTAAAGATCATCTACAACCRCAGAACATCATCCATGCACCAGCTGTGGATGGGAATGCAGGAAAACCTGTAGAACAACTGATGGAGCTTCAGCCCTTGAAACACCCCCATCCCTCCCTATGCCGCAGCTCTGCCACACACTSCAGCCTGGTTTTGTTTGCAGAAGCACTGTTTTATTCCCAAAAGTGTCCTGCTGTGGCTGCCCCATCCCTGGAAATGTCCAAGGCCAGCCTGGATGGGGCTTGGAGCAACCTGATCCAGTGGAAGRTGCCTGCCTGGGCCAGGGCCTCACCASCCTCACAGGGCAGAATTTCTCCCAGTACCCAATCTAGCCCTSCCCTYTGGTCATTGWCCCTTGTCCTGTCCCTCCAGGCCCTTACAAAAGCATTTGGACACATGGATAAGGTCCCTCTCAGCCGTCTCTGCTCCAGGCTGAACTGTCCCAGCTCCCTCAGCCTTTCCTCCCAAGAGGGAGGCATCAGTCCCCTCAGCTCAGGGATGCAAATCCACTCCCCAAAGTCCCAGGAGGAAGGAGGTGGCAAGGGAGGGCTGTGCCGAGGGCCCAGCTGCATTTGGACCTGCAAGGTGACAACCCTAAACACAGCTCTGTCCCCACAGCACAGGCACAGGGGCTTCCCCCAAAGTGGGGCAGGGGACTGGGCACTGGAAAGGCTGCCTGGTTTGGGGCAGAGGGCCTGGCCAGGGCTCACTAGATGCCAACATCCAGGTTGAGGAAGGAGACGCTGCTGTACAACTCCGAGGACATGGAGCCGCGCTCCAGGCTGTGTGTCCAGCCGGGTAGTGGGGACAGAGCCTGGTCCTCTGCAGGATCCACACGCTCTGGGCTCCTGAGAAAGCACAGAGAGAGATGTTGTTACCAACCCCACTCCCAAATGGCCTCAAGCAGTGAACCCAAAGATCCCAAAGCTGCCCTCTCCAGGCAGTCCCAGAAGSAATATGAGGACAGGAAATGGTAGTACAGATCCTACAGTCCTAGGTGTGGGTTGGAAGGGACTTGGAAGACCATCTAGTCCATGGGAAGGGACACCTTCCACTAGATCAGACTGCTCTAAGTCTTGCCCAGCCTGGCCTGAAGGTTATCTGTGGTCCAGGGAAACCTTTCCCACAGGACAGCCCACATTTGCTGAAGGATCAGCAGCTCTACCAGGGGACAGAAGGCTCCCAAGMACCCCCTTCTTCCACCCCAAGGGAGCAAACCCCCTCCTGCACCAGGYTCCATCATGGACCCAGCTCAAGGACACAAGGTGCCTTTACCCACCAAGTTTAACCACAGGGAAGGGCACRAGCTCCAGTTTTGAGCCTTGATGGGACTGGCCCACCTCGGATCCAAAATGTGGGTGTATGGGCAGAGCTGCCAGCCACAGACACTTGGGACAGGCAAAAACTGCGTAAGGAATATGGGCATCAGGGTGAAGAAGGTTTGTGGAAGGCTGGTGATGGATATGGCATCAGCATGTGGCCCTGAGAGGCCGGAGCAGGGGAGGGCGCTGGACACAAGAGCCATGCGGACACGAGAGCTCTGCAGAGAGCGGGTCCAGGCTGGGGAGAGAAGGGGCAGAGCAGGGAGCTCCGAGGGAGGGGAAAGCTGGGRTGTGAAGGGCTTTTGCCGGGGAGCAAAGGACCAGAAGTGGTAAACAGAGGAGGAAGGCAGGAGGAAGATGAGCAGGGTGTGCCATRGGTTGTCCGCGTGTCACACAGAGCCTGGGGACTCACGGTACAGCAGGGGACTTCCTGCGCAGCAGGTACTCAATGACATCGGGGTCTGTCTGGAACAGCCTCCTCAGGACATCGCACTGCATTTCTGGAGACACCTGGGGGACACACAGACTCACTCGTGGGGGCCCCTCACAGCAGGAGGGGGAGCAGAGACAGCCCAGGGCACTGCAATGGCTCCGGGACAATTCATGGTCACAGAGCCACCGGGTGGGYGTCACACCCCACACACCTCCCAGGGCCTGCAGGATCTCAGCCCCTGCTTTCCCCCACTGTCCCCAGTCCTCTGGCTCCCTGTAGACCCCAAAAAGGGCTGTGAGGCTTTTTGGGGACCTGAAATGTCTCGCTCCARTAGACCAGAGGGAGCTCTCACTGCTGCATGAAAGTGCCCTGTGAGAATTTGGGGAGGGGATGCAGTCAGACCCTTTCCCTGAGGATGGTACAGTCCCAGGACAGGACCTGGAGAGGTCACAGCTCCCCATCCCTGGGAAGAAGTAAAGCCTAGGTGGATGTAGCCCTAAATGGGCTTGGAGGTGAGCCCTGATCTGACCWGTCTGGAGGTCCCAGAGCTCTTGTTCCACACAGACCTTTACATGACCCTAAATGATGCTTTTGGGGATCTCAGGGTGATGTATCCTTAGTACGGGATAAGCATTCCCCACGTCCTGCTGATGGTCCCAATCACCCCAATCACCCCAATCACCCACTAAGGATCAGATCTGAACTGACCCTGGTCCTTCACCAGCTCTCCCCAAACCTGCTGAGGCTGTAGCCCTTCCACCTCACACCATCTCCATCCAGTTCCTTCCCTCTTCTAGGCTCACCCATAGTTTTCTTCTCCTCCCCGTCACTGGGATTCTGGAGGAGAAACAGCCCCAGGGTGCCACCCCTGCTGTTGTTGTTACCCATCCCAGAGGAGCTCAGTCCCACATGATTGCCTGGGAGGTGACGGAGAGGAGTGGACCTTCCTGGCCTTCAGCTCCACCTTTACCACTACAAACCATCCCAAATCCATATTTACACCATGAGGAATGAGCCCCATTTCCACCACTCGAATCAGCCACTCCTGAGCAGGGCTGGGACCCCCCTTTCCCCTGCTGCTGCTGGAAGGGCTCAGAGGGAAGGAAAGCCCAAAGGAACCGCCCTGAGGAGCCCCACGTACCATGAACAGGGAGTGGTGGTGCTCAATCAGCCTCTGGAGCACCAGGATGATGGCAGCACTGTCCTCCAGGTTCGGGGCATCTTTCTCCCTGGGCTTYTCCTTCTGCAGGATGTTGGGACCAAAAACTGTGGCCAGGTTTGAAGCTGTCATTTTATTGCCAGGGATCTGGCGAGGAAGCACAAAAGGACCCTGTGGGCTGTGGAGGAACTGGCAGGGGATGTCCCAGGATACCCTCACCCACCCCAGGGCAGGAGCACAAGGGCGAGTGAGGGCAGGGTGTGGCTCTGAGTCCAGTTTGGTCCCCTCTGAGCTGATGGCAGGGCCAGCACAAAGGGTTTGAGGTGCTGGAGCACACACTCATGCCAGTCCCTCCTGCCTCACCTTCCCAACCCCTCCCAAGAGGTTTTTGGAATTGAAATTATATTTTGATATCACCTCACATTATGGGGCAAGAGCAAAGAGATTCAGAGCTTGAYTTGTCTGGAGAAACCAAAATGAACCTCAACACATTGTCACAAGTCCTTCATGGAACTGGGAGGTGGAAATCCCAAATGGATCTCCAAAAACACMCCTTGTGCTGCCTGCAGACACACAGCTATGTCCCCCTGGGGCTCCTGCCACCCGACAAGTCCTGAGCCAGCCTGAGCCAGCCAGGCCTGACATGGGATTCATTCTGCCTTGACAAGACAAGAGGAAACGGCCTCAGGTTGTTTAGGGGAGGTTCAGGTTGGACACCAGGAGGAATTTCTCTATGGAAAGGGTGGTCAGACATTGGCAGGGGCTGCCCAGGGAGGGGGTGGGATCCCCATCCCTGGAGATATCCAAGSTATGACTGGATGTGGCACTGAGTGTTTTGGGCTAGGGACAAGGTGGGGATTGATCACAGACTRGACTCGATGACCCTGGAGRTGYTCTCCAACCTCAGTGACCCCGTGATTGTGTAGAGGGTTTGGTTTTTCCCAAGGTTTTGCTCAGGCTGGCAGCAGCTCTGTTGGGTTCTAACAGAGCCTCTGTCCCCTGAATCAGGCTCACCTCGTGGCCCTCGGCGTCCCAGGAGCGCTCAGCGTGCCGGGCCACCCGGCCCAGGAAGCGCAGGAGGCGCAGCAGGGTGTCACTGTGGCACGGGGGCAGCAGGAACAGCAGCAGCTGCAGGGTATCCAGCTGGGCCTGCCCCTCCATGGCTGGGCAGAGAGCAGCTGTTAGAGACCATCCCAGACCACCCACCGGACATTTCCCCCTGGACAGCCTGGACAGCCTTCCTCCCCATCCATGGGGTGAGCTCTGCAGGGAGCCAGGCTGCTGCCCCACCCTTCATGCACAGCGTGGAGCATCCAGCAAGGGCTGTGACTGCGCTGATATTGCACAGCCCTGCAGTCAAAGGCTGTCCTGACCACAGGGATTTCTATAATCCAGTTTTTAAAAAATCAAACAAGCCCCCTACCAAAGCCACAGATTACACATGGCTCTGTAACTGCCATGTTGCAGGGCCACGCAGCACATCACCCATCTCATCCCTGTCCAGAGGGTTGGAAAAGAAGGGTGGTGAGGAAGGATCCATTCCTGGAAGTGTCCAAAGTCAGACTGGACAGGACTTGGAGTTACTGGAAGGTGTCTGTGGAATTGAAGGTCACCCCAAACTCAAATCCTCCTGAGACTGTGAAGGCTCTGCCCCACAAGTACTCACTGGCTGTGCTGAGGAAGGCCCCATAGAGCTCTCTGGGGATCAGGGAATCCGGCATGTCCCGAAGAAACTCTTTGAGCAGGGCAGCCACATCATGGACACTTTGATGCTCATCCAAGAAAACATCCAGCCCTCGATCAAACTCCTCCCTCAGCTTGGAGATGGGACAAACAAGAAAGATGAAAACACAATCAGTTTCTTCTTCTTCACTTCCTCTCCACACAAGTCATGCTGGCGGAGCGGCTGCCATGGCAGGACAGGAGAGCTGGCTGCTCCCAATGCCCCCCAAAGCAGGGAACCCCAAAAGGCACCAAGAGCCTCCTGTGCCCAGGGCATGGATCACAAGACCAGAGGGAGCTCCTGGCTGGACTCTGAAATGCCAGGCAGGGCATGGAGGCTTGTTTGAAGGGAAGGAGCTGGGCTGGTCTCCTGGCTGGGAGCAGGACCCAGCAGCGGCATACAGGCTYCCCGGAATCCAGTGAATGCCTGGGATCCAGTGTGTGTGCCTGGATCCATGATATGCCTGGAGTGTTTCAGAGCTCTGCAGACCAATGCCAGATCTGTCCAACCCCTCCACGTGAGCCTCTGTCCCTCGGATGCAGCCGATGTCCCCCTTTACCTGCTGGACTCTTTTCTTGGAGCTCCCGACACGGAAGATGCCGACAGTTTGCAGACCTGGCAGACAGACAGGTTAGTACTGTGYGTTCCCACAGCTCTCTGCCCCTCTGGCTGGACTGGGAGCACCTCAGCACAAGGGCAGGGCTCCTCCTGCTCCAGGTGATAGGGAAAAGGGAGGGACTGTGGAGCCATGAAATTTCCTTGGGCTTCTCTGATGGGAGGATAGCCCATCCCTACGGTCACTCTGAGCAAGGGCTGGAGTTGCAGCAGGAGTTAAAACACCAAGAGATGGTCACTGACACACTCMGTGAAACTCCCTTCTCAGTGCCTTTCACTTCAGGTACTGCACCCAGCCCAGGGGACTCTCCTCAGGTGGGTTTTTGGGACATTTCCTGCCCCAGGACCCACAGAATCGCCAGGGTTGGAAAAGCTCTCCAAGACCATGGAGTCCAGCCTTCGGGCGAATCCCGTGATGCCCAGTGAACCCAGTGCCTCCCCAACCCTGGGATGGCCAGGCCAGGATGTCCCAGTGGTCGCCCACAGGGAGTTTTCCCTGCCCTTACCATGCATCTCCAGGTGTGTGCAGCACCTGTCCACGATCCGTGGCACCTGCCAGCTGATGGGGTTCAGGCTCAGYGGCTGCTTCTTGCCACGGCTCCTGCGCGGCTCCAGCTCGTGGGGGTGTGAGAGCTGCAGGGCCTCCAGCAGCTTGGAAGCRTTGTCACTCAGGTCAGTGATGGAATCCACAGACATTGCTCCCTGGGACAGAGCACAGGGGTTKGCAGGGGGCAGGAATGACCCCACAGATCCATCATTGACCTCAGGGCTTTGTGGGAATGGGSAGCATTCAGCCCCAGCCCYRGCCATGAGCAGAAACATTGTCCCAGGCTGCTCCCAGCCCCAATGTCCAGCCTGGCCTTGGACACTGCCAGGGATCCAGGGGCAGCCACAGCTTCTCTGGGCACCCTGTGCCAGGGCTTCTCCAGCCTCCCAGGGAACAATTCCTGCCCAATATCCCATCCATCCCTGCCCTCTGCACCCTTAAACATCCCCCTGGTGACCGCAGCTCCATAAGAGCTGAGCTAGTGAAGAGCCTCCCACCCCTTACAGTCCATCTCTGAGGGGACTGGGGACATCCCCATTTCCCTGAGGATAGACTGGGATTGGCCCAGCCTGGGACACAACCAACTCACAGCCGGAAAGAAAAGACCCTGAATTCAGACCCCCCATCCCATGGCACCATCACAGCCCATTTTGGGGACTGTACCCTCCGCTGGCTCCAGGAGCTCTTGTCCAGGAGCGTTGGGGACATTGGCTCCTCAGGGAAGCCCCCGTCAGGTGTCCGGATGCAGCTGGTGCCCTTTGGCAGCCTCCTGTGCCTCTGAGCCCGGAACCGTGTCACCGTGGCCTCCACCTCCAGGCACAGGCGGCGGCTCYTGCCCACGGCCTCCTGCAGCTGCCGGCAGGCGCGGTCGTTGGCGATGACCTGCGAGAGCGGGATCCCAAAGGTGTGGGGAGAGCAGTCTGGGGAAACATGGGAAAAGGGAAAGGCATGGCTGGTGAGGGAGCTGCACTCGTTCCGCCCCATTCTCCTGCCCCAAGGTGAATTSCCAAGGACCAGGCAAACCCAAAGGGGGCTGCTCTCCTGCACTCTGGGTGCCAAAGAGCCTAGCGGGGAGGGCACAGCGTGGGGAGCTACAGGAAGAGGAAGGAGACACTGGGGAGCYGGCAAGTAAACCTGCTCTCCATCACTGTGCTAGTTGGAGCCTGTCCCACYTTTCCCTGGGCTTCCTTTCACTGGCTACAGCCCCATGAAGCAACAACTCCATAGATCACCAGAAATATCCAGTACAAAATATTCTTCCCAAATCCTAACCTCTGTGTTCCTACAGGGTTTGCCTCAGCTATGTCTGCTCAAGAAAATCTTGGTATTAGTGGTGCTTTTTCCAAATCCCTGTCCCTCTCCATCCCTCTGGCAAGAAGGGCTCTYCTCACCCCCAGCCTTTGCACTGTCTTGGGATTTTACACCTGCAGCAGAGTCACAGACTCACTCAGTAAAGTCTGAGACATCAATTTCAGTAAAATATGAGATGTTAATTTCAGTAAAATGTGAGACATTATTTTCAGTAAAATGCGAGACATTAACTTCAGTAGTTTCCTTGAGTGGGCATTGTACTGGTGTGAGGAAGCTCATTCCCACCTGGCTCTGCTGCAGGATTCTGGGTGCCCCAGGACTCTCACTGAGGCCTGTCAAGGGATGTTAAAATACARCTGGAAGCAGCAAGATTGGGACAAAATGGGCAGAATATCACATTTCTATGTGTACAGCTGAACATGAATGTTTACATCACACACATTCCACCCACACCTTTCCCTGCCTCCCAGACTCCACCAAGCTCATGCCATTCCAAAAGCAGCCAAACAGCCTGGGGATGAAGCGTCCTGCTGGATTTGGGCAGTTCCCAGCTCTTCCCACCTACAGTCACCGATTGCCCTGAGAGCAGGGACCAAAGCCTGGGTGAGGGRGAGGCTGCTCACCTTTCCTCTCCTTGGAGAAGCTCTCCAGCTTCTGCCGGATGGATTTACTGCCTTTGGAGCCATCTAGGAGGAGAAGGGAAGGGGAGTGTTCACCATCAACATTTCGGGGCTGGCTCAGTACGCGCTCCCTGTCCCTCTGCACCCTCTGTGGCCATGGCTCTGAGCAGATGCAGCAGTCCCATGAGAGACACAGTGGGCAGGGGAACAGCCCTGGAGA